ACCTACTAACTTCTACTACTCTATGTAAAAATAACGAAATAAAATACACCACGTGTTTTTGTATTATTATTCGCTTATAGCGAACTTCGGATATAACGAACCAGTTTTAGTTCATTTTTCAAGTTCGTTATATCCGGACTCAACTGTAGTTGCTATTAAGGGGCGCAGCATAGTTAAACATTATTTGCTTTACTTGCATTTCAGATCAGTTCCATAAGTCATTGTTGATTTAATTTAATGTTTATTCGAATAGAGCAAACCGCGATAATTATAATTATTAGTATCATGTTGATAAACATGCAATTAGTATGGAGGCACACGAGCGACAAAGTTGTTCTTTGTTTGGGTAATTCGAACTCATTAACGATTTAAACAGTGTTTCTTTGTATGCTATTGATTTATTATATTTTTGTTAGGTGGTTGAGCCCCAACTGGCTTTCATGGAATAAGTACTCGGAGATAATGCTACGAACTTTGGAGAAGCGAATTCTTCAAGGTATGTATTTGATTGGATCCATTTAAGGGCGGATTGTGCTGGGTTATGCCGATGTCATGATTGAGCCGATTTTGCGACTAAAACTTCTTGAAATCAAGACTTTTTTGAGAAAACTGCCCACATTTCCTAAACGATGCTTCACTTTCTAAAAAGGTCATTTAGTTTTCTTTGGAATGATGTAAAAATCAGCGTTCTTGCACATTTTGCCTCCGAGATATGAGTAAAAACGGGACCGAAAACATGAAATTTTGGCATAATCTTGAACCTAAGTGTTTGATATTCAAATTTCGCTTTCTGGGTCAAAACTACTCCAATTTCCTCACTCATGTTGTTATTTCTGAATCGAGTTTTCAATTCTCTATCCAACGATGCCAAAACGAATTCTGTGGCTCAAATGGGGCCTGAGAAACTGGCAAAAAAGCAACGTCGTGTTTGAGTCAATTTTGCAACTAGAAAAAAACACACAAATCTGAAACTTTCTAAAACCAAGACTTTTTTGAGAAAACTGGCAACATTTCCTTATTGATGGTTCATTTTCTAAAAAGGCCATCTAGTTCTCTCGGGAATGATGTAAAAATGAGCGTTCTTGCTCATTATGCTTCCGAGAAATGAGCAAAAACGGGACGGAAAACATGTAAATTTGGCATAATCTTGCACCTAAGTGTCTGATTCAAATTTAGCTTTCTGGGCCAAAACCACTCGAATTTGCCGACTTATGTTTTTATGCCTCGCTTCGTTTTGAAGAAAATGATGTGGAATTTGAAGGCATTTGGAGAAATTTGATATTTTTGAAAAATTCGGTCTGGACTGAAATTTTCGGTCAAAAGTCAAAACTTTACATGGGGGTTTTTTGAGCTCAATGGATTGTTTCCGACCTAAAAAGTTCTGTTAAGTATTCCGGTCTACAATAAGGAAAATGTCGGCGTTTAAACATCAATCGTGATTGCTCAAAACCGTTGAAAATAAGCCAAAATATCGATTATTTTGGACGGGAAGCTTCTAGCCTGTTTCTCGCTTCCTTTGACCAAGTTGATGCAAAATTTTGAAGATTTTCAGAGAATTATTTTTTTGAAAAAAATCGACCTTCCCACCAAAATTTTTGGTCAAAAATCAAAATTTTACATGCGGGTTTTTTTATCTCAACGGATTGCTTTCGGCCTCAGAATCTGCCCAATATGCATTATTAAGTGCTTGACTCTATATGAGGCAAGATATCGTCAGTTCAAGATCGTGATGGAAAAATAGTAGTAAAAAATAGGGTAAAGTAAAAAGTAGGAAAAATTAGGATCATGTGTGATTTTTATGAAACTCTGCATCTGTAGAGTCGAGTGTCTTCTAAAGTTGGTAAACATTTCAAGTAATTATTTGCTTTACTTTGAAAAATGTGAATTTTTAAAAGCGAGAGCGCAATTGCGGAAGTATCCATTTTCAGACCGGTATTCACCAAGCAGGAAAAAATTAGGATTATGTGCGATTTTTATGAAACTCTCTGCATCTGTAGAGTCGAGTGTCTTCTAAAGTTGGTAAAAATTTCAAAGAATTATTTGCTTTAGTTTGAAAAATGTGAATTTTTAAAGAAGAGAGCGCAATTGCGAAGAAACATCCATTTTCAGACCGGTATTCACCAAGTAGGAAAAAATTAGGGTTATATGTGATTTTTATGAAACTTTCTGCATCTGTAGAGTCGAGTGTCGTCTAAAGTTGATAAAAATTTCAAGTAATTATTTGCTTTAGTTTGAAAATTGTGAATTTTTAAAGAAGAAAGCGCAATTGCGAACAAACATCCATTTTCAGACCGGTATTCACCAAGTAGGAAAAAATTAGGATTATGTGTGATT